TTCACCTTTACACTCTTTGCTTTGGGTCAGTTCTGCCATTTCAAATGTCACCAAAATCCTAACGAAAATACTAAATGCCAGACCCCCGCTGGAACTCCTTCTGATGTCTCTAATAATGCTGTGAACAAAGTTCTGAACAGGATAGTATCCCTGCCTAAAATTTACCTCCCTTTTCGTGAAAATACAAACAGCACATCTGCTGTTTCACATGGCTTTTCACTGTCACAGAAAAAAAAAATCATACTGGTTAAGATCTTTTCCCACAAATGTATGTTTGCTGCTACATACTGCATTGCTAAGGGCTTACAACCACATTGATTTTTTTGTTAGTTCCTTCTGGAAATTGAAGTTAGACGGACCGATCCGTATTTTCCCATCTCCCATCATCGTCTCCTTCAATAAAGAAAGGAATTGTATTTGCCATCTGAAACTTGTCTGTCTTCCATGGGTTCTCAAAGATGGCAGCAGATGTCGCCGAGATTGTCTTAAAACAACTTGCCTTATGTGTTTTTTTTTTTTCCCCCATTCTAGCAAAAGCTTCTACTCAGTTGTCAGTTGTGTTAGTGCTGTGAGCCTACACTCAGATGGCTGAGGACTGAAGCAAATAAAAGTTAAATAGCTGGCCTCACTTGGTGTTTCCTTCCCACTGAGTATAAATGAGCTTTTTTATTTTGGCCTTCCTCTTGTTTGTTTTTTTTTTTTTTGGGGGGGGGGGGGAAGAGGGGAGTGTGTGTTTTGTTTTTGTTTTGTTTTTTTTCTTTTTTTTTTTTTTTTGCAGAATAGTGTTTTCACATCCTTAACAGCTCTTGCTAGTTTTATCTTGTTTTGTGTCCTGCCTTTCTGATTTTGTCCCAGTATGCTCTTTTAAACACATCTATTGATCTAGTTTCTACTTTTTGTACAATTCCTTGTGCTCTAGCCAAGTGGGTCTTGGTAATTTACTACACTTCCTATCTTTCCTTCACACAAGGATTGTTTGTGTCTTTAAGAAAGTGCCAACTCTCCTGAACTCTTCTTCCCCTCAGAGAATAGATATATAAAAACCTCATGGGAAGGAAGTCTCAATTTATTGAAGTATTCCTCCTTGAAGCCCACTGGTTTTATTCTGCTGTTCTTTTCCCTTCGTTTTTTGAAAATTCTGGGCTCATGTTATTGTCACTATCACTCAAGTTACTTTCTACCTTTATATTCTCTACATGTTCAGGCCTCTTGGTCGAAAGTGTCTCAGTTTCTTAGCTGATCTCTCTACATGTTCATGTTCTACATCTTTTTATTTTATATGTAATACATGCCCAGAAAAATCCAGGAATTTGGACACCCATGTTAGCCTGTATGCCTTTCCCTACAATGACTAGGAAGTTAAAGTTCCTTACTGCACAAAATTATTATTATAAAAAAACATCTAAACCCAGCATTTTTCAATTACCTTCCTTCCATTTTCCTATGTTTTGGCTTTTGTGTGGATGATTCGGGATTAATGTTGCCCTTCTCCAGCTTAAGGTCCCTCTGACTTGTGAAAAGCAGGTTTGGCTCCTTAATGTCTTTACTGGGAAAACTACCTTCTCTTAGTGTAGTCGTGGTTCTGCTGGGTTTAAAGGAGTTGTGGCCCATTGGAAAGAGCAGTGGTTCAGAGCCTTTCCCCTCGAGCCACGTACCTCATAGCCCCCGTCTACAGCAGGAGGTTACACTGACCAGGAATCACCTGCTCTGGTACCAAATGTGGCCATCTCTGCTTACACCGAATTCTTACTTGGTAATGCAGTTTCTGAATACGTACAGTATCAAATACTGCATTGAGTGAACTAAATGCTTAACAGCCTTCTTCCTAAGATCCTAATATAAGTGTGCGTAACAGATTTACCTTTCTTGTAGTTTGATGGTGTCCATGTGGTGAGTGGATCTCTCGACACTTCCATCCGAGTTTGGGATGTGGAGACAGGCAACTGCATTCACACGCTGACAGGCCACCAGTCTCTCACAAGTGGAATGGAACTCAAGGACAATATACTCGTGTCTGGGAATGCCGATTCTACAGTCAAAATCTGGGACATTAAAACAGGACAATGTTTACAGACATTGCAAGGTAAGCCGAAACTACCTCCATGTAAATCAAGCTGGCTGCAGTCATCTATGCTGCAGATTCTAGGCAAAAAAAAAAAAAAAGAAAAAATTGTAAATAATTACATACAAGGAAACAAGCAGGGACCACTTACAACTTAAATATTTTTCTGATGACAGCAGTATGATCTTTCTCTGAGTTAGAAAAACAAAACGTATTTAATCCAATCTATTCAAATCACTTGCCTGTTATGAAAGGCAGATGGTCTGGACTGATAGCAATTTGCTACGGGTATATTAGCCTAATAAGCCACAGAAATATGTAGGAAATGACATCTCAAAACAGTCAGGCAACATATTTATTTAGGGGTCACTTGGATGTTTCAAAGCCTACTGATTAATTGGATCAGGAGACAAAGTACACTGTCTGTTGCAATAAATCAAGAGAAATGAGTGGAAGATGTTTTCTTTATTTCAGTAAGAAGAAAGGGTTTTGTTTCCACTTTCACAGTGGCCACTCGGGCATCACGCACACCAACGCATTGTTTTGTTTCTCCCCACAAAAAAGGTCTTACATCATTCCCATATATCATCTGCAGCACTGCTGGCTGGGGCAGAAAATTAAATTTCCCTGTAAAGCAGACTCTGCTGTTTTAACAGTATATATATTTATACATCAATACATAACTGTCAATATTTACTGATCGAGTAATCTCATAATAACACTTCAAAGGGACTTGGAGACAAACGCTTACAGCGGTCACCTCGTTCTGGATGGTTAAGTTCATCTTCGTGAGTGTCCAAGTGCACGCTTGCCCTCCTGTTTGTATACAGCAACATGAGATCACTGTGATGAGGAAGGAAATACTGGAGAATTTTCCTATACCTGCATGCACTTTTTGAAAGCACGGCAAGGCTTCTGTGCTTTTTAAAGTACAAAACTGAGCTGACACATCTAACAGGTAGAAACAGCTGTATGCAAATAGGTAGGTGTTGATGCTTTCTAATTGCAAATAAAAATGTTGTGGTTTACTGTTACAGGTCCCAACAAGCATCAGAGTGCTGTGACCTGTTTACAGTTCAACAAGAACTTTGTAATTACCAGCTCAGATGATGGGACTGTAAAACTTTGGGACTTGAAAACGGGTGAATTTATCCGAAATCTAGTCACATTGGAGAGCGGGGGGAGCGGAGGCGTCGTGTGGCGGATCAGAGCTTCTAACACAAAGCTAGTGTGTGCGGTGGGGAGCCGCAACGGGACTGAGGAAACAAAGCTGCTGGTGTTGGACTTTGACGTGGATATGAAGTGAAGGGCAGAAAGATGAATTTGTCCAAACGTGCAGACGATGTTCTCCTTTCCCTCCCCCTGAAAAAAAAAGAAAAAAGAAAAAAAAAGAAAAAGGAAAAAAAATCCCTTGTCCTTGGTGGTGCAGGATGTTGGCTTGGGGCAACAGATCCTAAAGACCTACAGACTACGAAGGAGAAGACAAAGATGACAAACTCTAACTGACAGGAGAGGCATTTGCTGTCTCGTCACATAAAAAGGCTACACTTTTGACCGGGGCAGCTTTGCAAAAATGCGACTTTTGAAATGAAACCAGGTGCAATTATTTCTTTACTCTCCTCCAACTGCTCCTTGAGCAATTTGGAGGTTAAAAAAAAAAAAAAAAAAAAGAAAAAAAAATTGTTACAGTTCTTGTTAACAGGTTATTTTACCACAAAGATCTTGAAAGAAGCTGCACAGGCGAGCCTGCTCGTGCACCCCTGGGCCACCCCGGGTCCCGGCAGCCCCTCCGAGCAACGCGCTGTCCCTTAGCCCCGCTCCGAGCGGGGGCTTGGGCCGCACAACCTCCAGAGGTCCCTTCCAACCTCTACGAGCAGTCACTGGTTGACTTTCAAAAACTAGAGAGCATCTGCAATGAAAAAAAAAAAAAAAAAGCAAACAAAAACAAAGAGTCCATTCCTGGTGTGGAAAAGCTAAAATATTACTGTGAATTGTTTTGTACAGTTTTATCAGAGCTTTTTCTTTTTCTTCTTTTATTCCTCCTTTTTTTTTTTTTTTTTTTTTTGCCAACCATTGCCAATGTCAATCACAGTATTAGCCTCTGTTTAATCTATTTACTGTTGCTTCCATCTACACTCTTCAACGCATAAGTTGCTCTGAGGTGGCAAGTTGTCCTGGGTTTTGAGAGTCCTCTGATGGATTTAATTCGCAATGCTGGTGCTAGAAGTAGGTCTTCAATTATGGGATTGTTGTCCCACCCCTGTACTGTATTCCCAGTGGCCAAACTTATTTATGCTGCTAAATGAAAGAAAGAAAAGCAAATTATTTTTTTTTATTTTTTTTTCTGCTGTGACGTTTTAGTCCCAGACTGAATTCCAAATTTGCTCTAGTTTGGTTACAGAAAAAGACTTTTTGCCACTGAAACTTGAGCCAACTGTGCCTCTAAGAGGCTGAGAGTGGAAGAGTTTCAGACAATTAAGAGTGAAGTTTGCCTGCAAATAAAGAATTGAGTGTGTGTGCAAAGCTTATTTTCTTTTTTCTGGGCAAAAATTAAAACACATTCCTTAGAACAAAGCTATTGCAGCCTGTTCTGTGGGGAAATTTTTCTTTGTGAGGGCTGTGGTGAATGGAATGAACATACATTAAAAAAAAACTGACAAAATTTTTAAAAAATACTATAAAATACAAAAATGAAAATAAAGTTGCTGGTCAGTCTTAGTGTTTTACAGTATTTGAGAAAAAAAAAAAAAAACAACTGTTACAGTTATTGCTAGGAGGAACTGACAGAGCAAAAACTTACGTTTTTGTAAAGATGTCACACGCAAACAAAATGAGAAACAGAAGAGTCAAATGGTTTGCCTCATTCTCCAAGAGCCACAACTCAAGCTGAACTGTGAAAGTGGTTTAACACTGTATCCTAGGCGATCTTTTTTCCTCCTTTTTTTTTTTTTTTTTGTTTTATTTATAGTCTGATTTAAAACAATCAGATTCCAGTTGGTTAATTTTAGTTATGTAACAACCTGACATGATGGAGGAAAACAACCTTTAAAGGGATTGTGTCTATGGTTTGATTCACTTAGAAATTTTATTTTCTTATAACTTAAGTGCAATAAAATGTGTTTTTTCATGTTAGTATGTCTTTTTTTTTTTTTCTTTTTTTTTCCCCCCTCCTCCCCTATTTCTTGTTGTTAATTTAATATCGTATGTCCTACGAAGGGTAAAGCAGGTCAAGTTGCTCATCTTACTGGTAGATGCTAAAATATGTCGCAGGACTTTTTATGTAACCCTTCCACAAACAGGTGCGCGAGCGTCCTCTCCTTCGGTTGCCGTGTAGGATTTGTCACATGGGCCTCGACAAACATGCGGGAAAGCCATTAGCTTCCTCTCCCTAAGAACGTGTCAGGATTTGAGTCTGGAGGGAGTTAGCTATAAAAAGCTGCTCAAGTACGTAAAAAACTTCTTCCAATAGCATCTTGTTACTGCGTCTTAAATTGAAACTTGATGTTTATTATTTATGGATTTCAATCAATTGATTGCAGTCTGACAGCAGAGGATAAATCCATAAATACAACTAAAATCAAAGTTAGGATTGTAGTAGAGCTTGAAATAAAGCTTCTGAAGAAAAAAAAAAAAAAAAAAAAAAACAACCAGCCAAACGCCGTCATTCCAGATCAATCTAACAGCAATTTTATCAGTGCCCCGAAACCAAGGTAAGTCATCGTGTCTCAGAAACTTACCCCCTGAGTGTCAGCTTCTTTCTCAAGTCTCCTTGACCAAAATCTGTTTTCTTCTGCGTAAGACTTCTTTCAGGGCATAGCATTTACTTGTTCATGACAGTTTCCCCTGTAGCCAACTGTCATTAAAGAAAACCAAACCAAACCATTAGAAGAGAAAGTACACGGAGGGAAAAGAAAAATATTTATACACTTATACATGTATGACTATGAGCTATTCAAATGTAGTTCCAATCCCTACATTATGCAAAAGAAGCAATGCTGAAGGATCACGCTTCCATCTGGCCTCTAGAGATTAAAAAGCCATACACAATGACTGAGCAGCTACAAATTGCAAAAATCTGTTCATTGAGTTGGTGTTTAAGGGAAAAAAAACAAATGCAGCAGGCACTGACGTATAAAAGCTATGATCATTTCGGTATTTATATAAAAAAAAACATTAAAGAGCTGATCCACTCCTAAAATGACAGTGAGAGGTTGCCAGGACTTCACATCATTCTGCTGAGAACGCAGGCCAGGGCTCTCAGCCCCCCCCGACAGAAGGTGCGTCAGTCTGGGCTGAACTACTTGTGAGAGGGGATGGAAACAGAAGGGTGAGAATACGAATATTTAATACAGGGAACAGAGCAATAGCTTTTAAGATTTTGTAATTTCCCTCCATGATTTGTAGAAATCGCAACGTGTTTTCAAAGAGCAAAGGCACTGGCCTGACGGTGCAGGAGAAGGAGAGATTTCTGAGAAACGTTGTGCCAGAGGGCAGGAATACAAATCAGGGCAGAGGAGTGAGTTGACAGAAGAGGAAAACTAACGAATCCAAATCGGTTCAAGCTGTGTTTAAGTACACTTTAAGCAGCCAATATCACCTGGACCAAAACGCTTAACCAGAATTCAGAAGTTTTCCAGTTGATAAAATGTAGTTCCAACACTATTTTATGTTTAAATCAATGCAGAATAACTTGAACCTGTTAAGCAAACCACATTTACAGCTTCCTTCATCCCAGATTTAAGTTAAAAAAAAATACATATATTGGCTGCCAAGTCAAGATATGATAGACTGACACATTAAATACAAAAACCAACACAGTAATTAAAAATTACTTTTTAAAAAGGATTTTCCCCTCCAATAAAACAACTTTACAAAGTTAATTGTCTTAGCGCTCTTTTCTGAAAAGTCTCTTTAGGTTTGTAGGAGTTGATGGTGCATGTGAGACATCTGAACAACATAGTTCAATAAGCAGAAATTTGTTAATTTATTTAAGTGACAGCATTTCAAAATGAGGCTGTAGTAAACACACCATGTGCAAGGAACAGTTCAAGGAGTTTTTCTTTACATTCTCCTTATTACCCCCCTTTATGTTGACGCACTCGCCGTAACAGAGTTCACTTCTTATGTTTCAACTTCAGTTTGGCAGCACATGCTCCAACGGAGACCGTTTAGGAAACATCTTCATTTTGTGTAATTAGATTTTGATTTTAAGGTGGGTGGAGTGTCTCTTTTTTTAAATAAAAACATTTCACAATACTAGTAAAACACTATAACTGCTTTACGCTCTCAATACACAGGCACTTCCTGAATCTAGTGGCTTAGTCATCGCAGGCTGTGTCAAAATATCTGCAGCTATCCTAGAGAGATAATTGCACTAGTGTTTCTGGCATCTTACCCTCTAGTTTTAATGCCGAGTCCCTTTTTTCTTTTCGTTTCAGCCCCAGAAAGAGCTTCCTCATTTTCTGCTGTATCTGAAGCCATATCAACAGCATTAAAGGATTTTTTTTTTTTAATAGGTATTATTCTTAGTGGACTTTGATTTTAGCTAACAATAAGTCAGAGCTAGCATTGCCACTTCCTCCAGGAGCCTGTGCCTAGGGGCTCAATTTCCCTGTTGGAGAGGCAAGACCAGACATTTAACTGCGGCGCCTCCGCCAGTTTGCAGTTCAGATGAGCAGCTCCCCCAGCAGAGCACAGTGCTGCCTCCGCGCCCACAGACAGGATTCCTTCGGGGTGTCACTGAATCTGGAGCAGCTCTCCAGGAGCACACCCCAGAACACTTGAGCCACTAGCGGAGCCTGTGTGACCAAACCAGAGCTAGTCCAACACCCCAAAAAATACATTCCTGTGGACATTAGGTCCTCAGGACCAGTCAATTGGCCCTAGAGCTCTGCTCTTACGGCACAGTGCTCGTTGCTAGTAAGGGTACAACCTTCTCCAAGCCCTCTCCCACGGCTCTTGACTTGTCAGCAACCCAGCTCCCATCCAAACAGCAGCAGCAGCAGCAAACCAGCATCTCGCCTGATACCACTACAGAGCTTTTGCCAGAGTTAAAATTTGGGATGCCTTCAGCTCTCTTTCAGCGTGCTTATGGAGAGGTTCTTCCGATCTGTTTGTGGAATCCAGTTTAAAAAGCTCTCACGAGCAGTCTGGCCAAAATTTGCTACCGACAAGTCAACTCTTGAACCATTCAGGAAATGAAATCATGAAAATCTGTAATTAGATGGTCAAAAGAACCAAATTATAACAATAAAAAAGAAAAACCTGCCAGTAATTACTTGAGTCACTCTCACCAAACAGCTGTAACTCCTTAAAGAGCAATATGCAAACACACTGACCACCAAATCTTTAATAACAGTGGGAATATCATTTGCTTTCCAACTCCTGCCATTTTATCTATAATCTTGATCCGTGACATTGTGCAAAGATACACATGCTGTGTGATGATGTTTAGTATTTTATGATGAAATATGATGTTTATGATTATACATGAAGTATATGGTATACACCAGGTTTTTCAAACTTCATCTAAAAGTGGCATATACAATTTTTCAAACAGCTCTTCAAGCATCAGTGCAAGGTTTATAAATACAACAGATATTTTAACATAAAAGCTGTTCCAGTTCCCTTCCGAGATAGATCGCCTGACAAACTAGGTGTCACCAAGAAGTCAGCAGCCAGCAGAGGCTCCTGCTCCCAGTTCAGATTGCCAAATGGCCCAGCAGCTGTAGCGGTGCTTCGGAGGCAAGAAGTGGTGCGCTGTGCTACCACGAGCCCACGCCGCCGAGGGGCAACGCTGCAGCACTCCGGGACTGCAGCTGCCTAAGGAGCCATGGCTCCAGCCCGGATGGGGCGTCAGAGGCCTAGAAAATCATCACTGAGCTAGGATGGACTCTCCCCACCAGGTAGAGATGGGGGAAATCGTTAACCACAGAGGTTGCCACTCACGTGCCTGGTGGCACAAGAAGAATCCAGCAGTGTTTCTAAACCACACGCTGTACAGGACACCCGAGACTTGGGCAAAGGCATCCTCCAGCTCTCCTTTGTCCTCGCCTCTGCCTTGCTTGGATCCAACTTCAAGTGCCTGATCCCTACTTCCAAGCTGATTTTGTCCAACGCTACGTGCAGCAATAGGTTCGGTGAAAGACAAGCGGAGCCATTTGTCTCCTGCATCTCTGTGCTGCTGCAATCTGCTTTTTGCCACTTGCTGCACAGGGACAGCACAACCTCAAGTCTAACACTGAATGCTCCAAGGTAGTACATTAAGATGAGAAGACATCATTCAGCACAGAGTGAGCGATTTGTCATCGGTGTTGCTAAAATTATTTCCACCCTGGGTCTAGACTAAAAATAATATTCTAGACCTGGTGCAATTAGGCAAGTTTCAAGTTGATTGCAATTCCTTATTTTTTCAGACATGAAGCTTTTATTGCTACAAATCTCATCTGGCCTGGGTTTCTTCATGCCTGCAAAACGGGCACATCCAAAGGAAGCTTCACAGTTTAAGCAAGATCATGGATCTTGTTGCCTGGAAGCTTGGAGAGGTCATGGTCTATGGACAGTGAAAAAACATGGAAGGTCTACGTGAGCTGCATGAGAAATTACCTATAAAATTCAGAGAAAGGCAGATGTAATGAATCTGGGGCTTTTTCTGTCCAAGTGATCATAACTGTAAGTCCATCCTACAATGGCTAGCGTGGGGTGTTTCATCATCCTCACCAACAAAGCACAGGAGTCAGCTTTCTTCATGAAGCCTTTAGTCTGGCTGCCCTGTAATTGAGGATACGATCAGCCTTATTACCTCTAACTTGTATGAACTTCTCTTACCCAGGGTGGGCTGCTTAATGTGAAGGTGAATGAAATGTCCCCAGACCTCCTTCTTCTGTCTGGCTCCTCACGTCAGCCAGCCAGATGTCCGAGATGCAGGTTTCACAGGGTGCTTACAGTGCGCTGCTCAAGAATGCTTTGTTCTTTTAGTTTAAAACAGGAAACATGGAATGTAGAAGATCCCAAAACTTCAAAGGCAGTTTCCTTTGCCAAAGGAGTTGCATTTCAACTCAAGTTCATTCTCTAGATTAAATATTCAAATCTAACAGTGTGGGAAGATGCTCACACCTTCGAGAGGATTGACGATTTCTAAGGGACAGAGGGATTCAGATTAGTTGGCTGTAAATATCAGCGTGGTAAACTGAGCAGTACAACTGTTCCTAAATGGGAGTTTTATTTTGAGCTCCTCGGTTTGAAATGAATTTCTAATAATACCACAGCTCTGCAGATACACAAACAATATAAAACGCGTTTCCTTTACCCTGCTATACAGAAGATCTGAGTGCTGCATTTTCCTCTCTTTTCAAACTGTCATTTGTTTTTAAGTTTCCTGATATATTTCATTGCCAATTTTAAATCTTCACATTATAGTTTGGAAAAAGGAAGAACTCAAAAACTGCAGACTAGACAGGCCTCCAAAAATGTGCCTTCAGACAGTTTGCTGCTACTTGCCTGCTTTGGTGTTCCTCCTGTCAATTCTCAGTTGACAGGAGAGAATGTTTCAATTAACTAGCACACACATTTCCCCAAACAAACAAGTTTTATAGAAACATGTTATGTTGTTGTCCCCCAGGGGAAGAGTTTCTTGATTTTTTTCTGTTGGTGTTTCTCTTGCCCGTTTAGCACATGCTTTAGGCACGCTCTGGATGCTGTCTTTACCGTTCTGCTGACTACTGCCACACTTCAGATAGCCCGCTTCATCCGAAACAACACAGTAACACCATGTTCCTCGCGTGCACCCTTCGGTGTCACACTCATTTCACAACCAGATAGCTGATCTGTCTGGATTACCAGCAGAACCAGCTCTTGAGACCTCACCGTTTATCACTGGTGGCCATATGGCAGAATGGGGACAACCCAGGGCAGAGGAGCAATAAGATGGAGAAATGCTCTATGTGTGATACCACTAATGTGGCCATCTGTTAGTATAACTAAATGGGATACAGCTCCACTAAGCCCACAGGTCTCCAATTCGAGTTGAAAAATTCAAGATTACAGCCTATATTTTAAAAGGCTCAAACTACATTTCTATACATACACATTCGCATCTTGAAACGCTTCTGGTTTTACATGTTTTAAAAAAGACTTGACGACTACGTAATCTTTCTGTTTTCTTTTATTTGCTTCCCTCATTTTCTCTTTTCCTTGGCACTCATACTTCAGTTTCCTTATGTTTCACTTCCTCCTTTGTCCTGCTCCCTATGTTTTTCCGTTCATGTCCCTATTTTTCACGGTTTTTATCTTCCTCATCTTTCCCCCTTCACAGACTTCTCTGCTTAAAACTGTCATGGCCAGCCTCTCTCTCTTCCTTCACCCCGAGATCAGAGTTGGCGAGCTAAAGTCTTTTTCACACCAGTCAACAGATACAAGATATACAGGAGATACATAGGCCAGATGATAAGCAAATACAGAGCACTCGAAAAAATTCATTTGTTTGTCTGCTTAAACATGACAGATCTAATGTTTGTCTATTCACAGTCCACAAATGACTCAAATGGTCCAACAGCAATAGGATCAGGCCCTCTAAGCACAGACTGATCTACCACCAATTTCACAAACAACTGAGCAGCAAGTATTGCCTAATTCAATACTCATCAAGCATTTTCTCTTTTGCTTTCTGCCAAATGATAGCATTTTCTTTAAAAATCATGTTTTCTTCCTCCTTAGGAAATCCAGTGTGCAAAGGCAAGTTTGAAAATATTTCTCATTACACAACACGGGTGATACATGGCTTTCTACATCTGTGCAGAATTTGGAATTTACTTTTGGTGACAAGCCTCTAAAC